TTGAGATAGATCTTCTACCTAGAGGGAAGGGATTGAAGAATGTGCACCATACTGCTGCATCTATTCAGGGGTCTGAGAAGAGGGTCTGGCCCCATCTTTGATGATCACTTCAGGTTCTGGCCTGCGCCTTCACAGAAACAACAAGGTTGGAAAAGACCTTCAAGATCATCCAGTCCAACCATCCACCTATCACCAATAGTACTCACTAGGCCATGTCCCTCAGTACAAAATCCAAACGTTCCTTGAACATCTCCGGTTCGGTGACTCCGCCACCTCCCTGGGCAGCCCATTCCAGTGCCTGATCACTGTTTCAGAAAAGTAGTATTTCCTAACATCCAGCCTAAATCACCTCTGGTGCAGCTTGAAGCCTTCATTGTGGACCAGTCCCAGCCAACTACTCGGAATTTATCTCAGCCCCTTAGCTCACTGCAAAAACAAAGATATAAAAGTCCGAGCCAAAGTGACTTACATAAGAAAAGCATACGAGCAGCACCAGCTTAGGCTGTGAATTTTGACAAACCTATCTTGATGTTCAGAAAAAGGTACAAGATGTGTAAAAGATTGTGGCTAACATTAATTTTCTAAAAAATTAAATTTAAGACAATTTATGAAGCACAAATGACACAAAGACATAGTATTTTTCTTTTTTTTTTTTAGCATTCTATTTCTTGTTTTCGCCCTAATGAATTTAGTTAATGACAGAACCTAGTCAGAGTTTGCCATATAAGAAGACAGGCCATAAAACAATACAGTTTTCTGTAATGACTGCTTTAGACTCACAAACGTCACTCCTCTGCCACTTGAAATAAATTTAGCCTCAGATTTTTGCTCTGTGATAATTCTCGTGAGCTTTGAACTCAGTGCCTATCACAGTAACAACAGTCCTTTATGTCTCCAGACTCTATCTGTGTTCTTGTTAACCTTCACTTACAAAGTAATGAGATGCATCAGACATCGTCAAGCTGGCCTAAGGGGTTAGAAATTTGGATGAGGGCCACATACTGTACTAATTGCTTCTAATAAATTACATATTTCAGGAGGGACATCATGATTTTAATAATTTATTCTACATTTTGTTTCCTTTGGAGAACAAGCAGGTACTAAACAAGCATGGCATCTGAAATTCATGGCAGAAACTAGAAAGAGCTCATTTAATATCAGCCATCACTCTAAATACTAGAATTATGCATGTATCAAATCCCTGGGTCTGAACACCCTGGGAACAGCCACTGAGTCCTGGATGTTTTAATGAATCAAACTAAAAGATGTTTTTAAATGTTCCTTAGGATTATAACAACTTGTACTTCATCCCATTTTAAGTGTTGTTGCTAGGACTAGTCAAAGAAAAAATCTTGGCCTTCATGCAAAGAAAAAACATCAAGAGGGGATGCGTTCTCCCAGTGGGTAGAGAGAAAACATAGTAAAAGATTCCACTTCAGGAGGGAAGGACTTTAATTATGATCTAATGGCAGCTAATTGCAAAGGTGGTCCAGTGAACACGGAAAGCAGCAAGAGCTTTCTTCAAAGCCCACTGGGAGTAGTAGGATCTTGATGCTGGCCCCAACAGCCTCCTGCAGGGTGAACTCAGATGAGGGAAGGTTTCCTCTTTCCCTGACCTCTAGCACACCCACACCAGTAGGATCACTACTAATGAAGTCTTCAAACCACTCAGGAATGAGCGCTTGCTTCTCAAGGGAAGACCTTGGTGGTATTTAAATAGATGTTAGTATTAATAGCAGAGGGGCTGGTAGATAATGTGGAGACTTGTGACCTCTGGGGAGCAATGCAGATTTGGGAACAGCTCAGACTGTCTTCTGTTTGTCTTTGTAAACCTTGTTTCCTGTCACTCCAGTACGTGTTTCCTTTCAAGAATGAGCTGAAACAAAACATGATATCTAGGTAGTAGGAAAACTGTATTGGTACAAAGCATGTCTTTTAGACTGAAAGCTGCCACTGTAACTCTGAGCCTCAAATGTGCTCTTCTAATTTTCAGGTGGTGATGAGGTGCCAAGGAAGTACCTTTACCCGGGATAAGCACAGTCTGAGCTGCAACTCTCTGCCTGAGGGGGTTATTTCATTTAAGACTTCTCTGGAGATCATAAGGGGAAAAGGCACAGCTCCCAAGGGCTCCTCATACTCTCCAACCAGAATAATGGAGATTTCTTTAAGTATACCAATTTGTGGATGAATGGGCATGTTTAAAAAGCTGGGCACCTGCTTTGATACCGAGGCAAATTACCAAAGGATTCTTACTAATTTTATCATAAAGAACAATAAGCAGATCAGTACTAGGATAAACCAACCTTAAGCAATGAGAACTGACTGAAAAAATAAATTGCTTTGGATACAACTGATAACTCTTCAAATGGACATATTTTCCCTGGTTGTTTTTATGGTGTTCTTTGTCAGGAGATACAAAGCCAGCTTCCGTACATGAAGAGGAGCTTAAAATGGAAGGAGAAAGTGATAGGGATTCAAGCTTAACACATTAGCACATTAGAAGTTAGGGAAGTAAGGGAGCATTTGAAGCTCCCATATAAAAACTCAAGGGACAGGAAGAAAGGGGGGATGAAGAAAGACAAAACAGAGATGGTGAACTCAGAAAACAGTAGAAAAAAGTTACTAGATTAAGTACATGGGATGAACCTATCACTGATCTGAGATGGTATAAGCTTAGTAGAGTTGAGAGTTTAGTCTATGACGTTAGAGCAGCCCTCGAACACAGAAAAAAGTTTCAGCCTTCCTTATGTTCAGTCTTTCATTAGTTATCATTAGTATCCTCAGGTAAGAGGTGCTGACAATGTACATGAGGTAAATCATAATATACTGAAAATATTATGAATTGGGTTCAATCTTCGGATGCTGACTTTTTCCATCATTGCATACTGTGTAAGGCTGTGGAGTTAATAAAAACTAGGGTAGCAGCATTAGCAAAAAAAATATTTTTGAAAGCAGAATAAAGAAACCTCTTTGCCATCCATCACACGTGGTAATATAATACTAGAAAGAACTCTGCACTGAGCTGTTATCTGGTTTGCTGTCTGATCTTCTCTCCAGATTACCACCTAAATCAATAGCTCTCACATTGATTTTTCAAGCACATTATTCCAGTAAAAAGAGCAATGCTGTGAGATGAGTCAGCTGTTTGCTATGTCTGCAGAGATGCTGTGTGGGTTTTTTCCTGAAAAATCAAAGCAGGAACCAAAGCGCACACACACGTACATAGGAATAAGAACTTACCTGTTGCACTCTAACCAGGCACTGGCTCTGTATACACATGGCTTTGCTACAGCTTGCTACAGGAACTGCAAACCCACCAAAGACAGTGCAAGCCATATTAAGGATGGAACCAAAGCATTTGGAAGCAGTATTAGACAAATAATAGCATTGTCTTTCAGTTCAGATCGTTTCTATGGCAGAGTGGGGAAGTATGCTCACATTAAGCTAAGAATGCTCTCCATCTATCACTATGACATGTACACCAGTGCTGCATCTTCATTTACTTTTTAAATTTCAAATATTTTAATGTATTTGCATAGTTAATGTAACAAGAACTATTGTCCTGGTATTGTACCAAAAAATATTCATCACCTAGAATCTCATGCTCTACTGTAGATTGACACATACACTATAAGTACAGAGGGAGAAACAGCTCAGGGGGAAAACACATGCAAAGCTGAGGGAATACTGAGAAATCAAGAAGCCTGCTATTCTGAAAGCACTGGGGAGAAAAAACAAATAACCTATAAAAATAGAATTATTTAAATCGTTAAAGAACTTTTAAAAATTCTGTTTCACAGTCATGCTTTTCATAGCATTGTGTATTTTGGATTGCTACATGTGCCCCCTAGTCTCAGTCTGAACAAAATAACATGAATGTTTTCATAGCAATGAAGAGGAAGGAATAATGAATTTTCTGTTTCAGGATACTTTTTTTTTAACAAAAAGGTTTATATTTATGACATTTCCAATATGTTAAATTAAGGGCAATCCAGCCTGTTTACAATGCAGTTATAAACTTCCAGGTGCCTACCTGTGCTTCTGGGAATATCGCACCGGTTAGGGAGTTAAGGTGTACAGGATAAGCATTTTACACTTTTCATTCTTCTGTTCACAAGCTATTTCTGATCATCTGTAAGCTCTTTTCTTCTAGAAAGTCTCTTCCTTGGTAATTAAGTTTATATAGTAGCAAACTGCCAGGAACTTCCCCAGACCTGAGCAGGGGTAATGCTGAGTAGGATGTAGTCTTAGGACTATGAGGACCTGTTACAGACCTCTTCATTTACACAGTTTAATTTAGACTTACGCGGGGGAATAATGCAGCAGTGGCATCAATAACAGCTATTGCTGCCCACTCAAAACTTTCTGTCACAAATTATTAAAACTTACTATAAAATTATTTCTAATATCCAGTAAACAAACTTTAGCCAGTTTCGACAGGTAGCAGTACCGAGGTGATGTGTTCAGTGTTGCTAAGTGCTGGAGAACTAAAGCTACTGAATGAGATATTAGATATTAGTAGAGCTGGCTGTTATGGTAAACTACCTAACAATTGTGGTTGTGATCCACTCTACAAATATTTTACTTCCTGTATTTTGTCAGGTTGTGCTGAGCAGAAAGAATGGAAATTGAAGATATTCGTAATCTACCAGGAGACACTTGGCTTTGTCCTGTACAGACAAGTGACGGTGTAAGCAGCTGGTGAGTCCCCACAGATCTTGCCTACTGGAAGCATGAGCAAGTCACTGAAGAAACAAGGCCTTTAAACAGATTTCCCACTGTTGTTATACTGCCCTGAGGGCCAATTGCAGCCCAGTATCAGGTAGACAACCATTCCCATGTGAGACCAGAGACACATAAGCACCAACTTCTCACAGCCTCCACGCTCTGCTTGGGGGAACATGGAACTATGGCTTGTGCTGGGTGTTCCCTGTGCACAGGGGCACAGAGCTGCATGGGACCAGGGTGCTCCCAGGGCAGGGACAGTACCTGGACAGTACCTTTGAGAGCAGGTGGGGTGTACACGCTCTGCTTCCGCTGCTTTGGCGATGAGCTCTGGCACTGGGGATTGAAAATAGAGACAGATGGTAAAACATGGGCAGAGAACATTCTTGTGCTTAGCAGCTCGGGGTCGTGCTGTGCAGCTCTTCCCTCTCTTTACCTGAAAACTCTCTGAGGTTGCTTGCCCAATGCAAAAACTTATTTCACACTCAGAATTACCCTGGGTGCTTTTCAGACTAAGTGGTAGTTCCTTATGGCCTCAGTAGGGCTGGATTGAAAGCCATACATACAGGCAGCAATGATAAGCAGGTTTGGGATAGACTGCAGCGCTCTGCGTTGCTCCCAGTTCAGGAGCAATGAGAAGCATCTGTGGAAATGATATCGTGTGAAGTCTGATGCCAGCTCCTGTGCTTTTGTGAACACAGGGAAAATTTAAATGGACAAAATATGCTTAATGAACAACTTTAATAGCTCCCAGGCACCACTGAAAATTACCCTTAACTGTAAAAGATGCTGTTAAGCATAAAGTTAGGGCAGTCTGTGTTTTTAATAGTCTATGTAACTGACTCTAAGAAGGCAAATACATACATATATTAAAATAACGCAAGATTTACTTTAACGAATATTCCAACTAATCAGTATAAAGTATATGCATAAAGAATGACTCCGTATGTAAGGTAATAATGAAATTATTACTACACGCATTCTAACAAACGAAAAAACCCTCCCCTGCAATTTTTCAATGTATTATAATACTCCTCAAACAATTCCACCAACCACTCAGCCCTCAGCTACTCCTGTTTTAAGGGATATCTTTAGAGATAATATACATTTTTGACCCCAAAGTCACATCTACTCACAAAAGATGAATTATTCCAAAATGACAGCATTAAAATTACACGTGGAATGATTACATCAGTGCATATCTAACAAGACCTAACTGAAGCATACTCCAGTGCTAAGGCAGTGCAATTTCTGCAAAAGTTCAATTGGCGTATGTACCAACATGGAATATCTCCATATAGAGAGGATAATAAAATCACATAATATCTCACACATGGCTAGGTTTGGAAGACATACCACATTCCCAAGAAAAATGTAAAAAAAAAGCTGTGCCTGAGCAAGCTTTACTTGCTCTCATCAATTTTAGTTTTATTTGCTTACAATGATGCTGCCTCCTACTTTTCCTCTGGTGTATCACCACTGAATTTTAATCTCTTCACAGATTATTGGAGACAGCTCTTAAGAAAAACACTGCCACACAAATGCCACCAATCCTATTACCTTATCACAATGGATGGAGTGATAACATTTATAAATAAAAGATTGTCTTTTGGAAAGAGAAAGCTATTTATAATCACTCTGTGATAGGTTGCTGATCCTCACCCCAGTGAATCACTGATAAGTCTGCATTTGAGTCCAAGTCTGAAACAATCAATACCTCCTGCAGCTATTTTAGAGCTCTGCTGGATTCTCTGGGCAATTGGTGGAGGCTAAAGTGAGAAGGAACTGCAGGAGCTGTGGGAGGGAAGATGAGAGGGGAGGAGCCGGTTCTCAGCTCTCCTGCAGACTGCTTCAGTCCTGTGCCTACTGTGGGCTAGGCAAAGGACAGCAAGAAGGGATTTTTGCTGCCCCACAGCTGCCTGCAGCCCTCTGCTTGAGGCAGGAGGGTGAGGAAGCAGAGCTGGTGGACACAGTAGTTGGGTTTGGGTTGGCTGTGCTGCTGGAGGCATGTGAGCGTGTAAGTGTAGGCAACTACAGCGGTGGACCAGGACATTTTGGAGGGGTTTTAACAGTAGTTCTATCCTAACAGTATATGAATTTTAAGAAAAAAATACTTCACTTACTTCTGCCTGTGAGATGTTTGTTCTTTTCTCATCTTTTTCTAGAAAATGAAAAGATGCAAAATAGAAAAGTTAGTACAAAAGCGTTTCCTGGTGCAAAGTCTTGCAGCTCTGCCCAGCACCCTAGAACATTCCTGTAAATAAGAAAACACTCCGTTGATCTGCAGCTTCTCCTTTGCGTCACTCAGAAAACCTGAGGCCTTACAATACTGTATTGCATCTGGAGCCCTTCACTCCCATTTTTTGTCTGGCTGGGCTGGCAGCAGGGCTCCACGCCCAAGCGATTTGTGGTGCCCAAGCATTGCGCTATGGCTGCAGAATGGCATGCAGCAGCCTCACTCAGGGCTCTGCTGGGCTCCAGTAAGCACCAACAAGACCTTCCCCTTCACTCGACTGTTAATACGCTAGTAATGACACTCAAGAGTAACAGCAACATTCAAAATCAGCAAACCGAAGTGCAATGAAGTCTCATCTTTCATCTGAAAAGTTTAAGGACACCACTACTGTAGTCTTAGAAAAGGCTGTGAAATATTTCCTGATATCACTTTTTTGCCTTGATTTGTTTTGGAGAATAGGTGTGACAGAAACAGTCAATAATAGAGATTCCTAATGAAAATAAATATTCTGGAAACTTATCTGAACAATTAAGTCAAATAACACGAAGCGGAGAAGCTGCAAATTTTCCTAACCATTGCTCTAAAATCAGCTTGTCCACGAGACCAAATTATTTTTCTAGCGTTGTATTGATGCAGTTAATGATCAGAGTCTCTTCCAATGAAAACTTTCCAAATATTCCACAAAGATCATTCAGGATCTTTGATGCACTGTAGTTACAAGCTCTAAAATAAAGAGCCATTAAAAACATAGACAACAATCTAACTGCACCACTACTTGCAGATATAATTGTCCAATTTCTACTGATGTGTGACAGATTCGGAGGATGAATCAGTTCTGTGTTCCATCGCTTCATCCACCTTTGTATCTAGGTATCAGCTGCCTGTAATGTGATTTTTTTGCCAGGGGAAGAACCAGTCCAGGCAGACTAATTGCATTTCCTACTGCGTTCCTTACCCTCAAGCACATGTATCTTGCAAACATTAATTGACTTACTGATCTTTCTTGAAGTATGGATTTCACATAGGCTTTATACAAGAGACCTTCATTTGATTTATACTCAAGGTTGAAAAACGTGGTTCAAAACAGCACTGATTACTTCAGTGTGGTCCCACAGCTACGGAATTAGACAAGACAATCAGGAGGCCAGTTCCTGCCATTGACATTTGCATGACCTTGAAGCTGACTAATCTCTTCCTTGAATTCCCTACCTGTAAATAAGTATAGCAGAACCTTGTAGCCTTTTAAAGCACTTTGGATCATGAAGATATCCCGGCTAAATGGCTGATTATTTCAGTCCTTGCAATGTTTCTTATTAGAAGCATGACAGAGAGACACAGACTTCAAATACTCAACACCAGAATTTTTACCTCAAGTTCCTGGACTTAGTTTAGAGGCTGAAAATGAAATAAATTGAAAACTTTAAACAGAGAATAATTAAGAGTAAATTATGTCCCGTTCCTTCTTGAAACACTAGGCTTGTTCGGATTCAAAGAATTTGTGGAAAACCCAGTCTCACTGCAGACAGCAGCTTTGATGGGTTTCAGGTCTTCTCCCCAAGGATTTGCATTTCTCTAACCCTTTGGGCTTGCACTTTAACTATTCCTCTTAGTGAAGCAACACTGAATTTATGAGAACCAGAAAGTTTCCGTCCTTTCCTTTCATCCAGCAGCCCTTAAATAATGTCGGCTTTTTGATCAAAACCTGTCCTGTCAAGTTACAGAAATCATTGATATCCACAGGGCAATGAGAGCCAATAAATAGCAACAAACAATGCAGAAATTCAAGAATGACTTACAAAAATACACCAACAGTTTTTCAAATCCAGAAAAAAGCTGGAATGACCAAAGGAGACAAACCTGAAGCAGCAGGTGTGAGGTGTTTCGTATGTATTTTGAGATCAAAAGCAAGGCAGAGACAGCTGGAGATATCTTTTGGTCAACAGTACATTTTGGTAGATGTTTGAGCACAGAAAGAACATTGCATGCTTATTTTTGAAAGGCATTTTGATAGAAAAGCTCAACAAAGTATATAGATCTTCAAAGAGAGGTGAAGCTGAGATCACTGCTTGCCATAGATCAACACAGGGAAAAGAAAATAAAAATTCTCTCTGTAGAGGAAAGTGGAAAGATGAAAAGAAAGGGAGAAAGGAAAAGAAAGCAAGCAAGCAAGTGCTGCTTTTTTGTGTAGCTGTGGTAGTGATGAAAGACAGGTAGTGGGCTGTAGCAGAAGTTAGAGGAGATATTTAGTGAGAACAGAGCAGTAGTGCAGTGTGCACTGGAGCTTGATTAAAAGATCTCTGCCCAAGGAAATACCTTGAGCCATACTGACTTAACTGGAGGACTGCATTTATATTTGAGTGATTAGTCTTGCTTGGATATAAACAATGTTTTTCCATTGTAATCCTTTTTGCCTTGAAAGCGGTTCAAATAATGTTGTGAAAGCGTGTTCTTAATAATAGTGTCCATAAGAGAGTCATTTCATGTCCAAATTGATGTTCTCACCACAAAAGATCAGTTCTGGCATAAGGAGATATCTCTGAGACAACAAAATTTATGATGGGAATGGATGGTACAAGGTAAGAAGGAACACAATGGGTCAGCTGCTGCAATGTATCCACCAAACTGAAATCCAACAAGACAGATAATTCCCAGCTTTAGACCCCTGCCAAATCCAGTGGCAATTAGAAAAACTGAATTTCTTTACTAAATTCTTAGATCCTGAAGTCCCCTTGAGAAGAGTGAGGAAATGATCTGAAGCAGAATTGATTCACAAAAGGGAATGGAACTCCTGAATTCTCACTTTCCTTCAGTTCTCAGTGACCTGACCATTGTATGGTCAGGATTCTACTCATAAAAAAACTCCTATTTATAAAGAATGAAAAACTTTCTTGTCATGTTTATAACCAGGCAATTACAGAGAATATATGTTCAATTAGAGAGGTATTTCTGCCTTATGTTAAATTTTTGGTAGATAACTTCTCTCTCCAAGTTCTCATTTTTGGGGCCAGAGAAGGAAGACGACCGTTTAACGCTTCTCCATTTTCTTCTCACAGATCATAACAGTGCTTACAGCATGCAGTGCTGCCCTATTATACTACAAATCTGAACACATGGCATTTTTCCAGTTTGACTCTTGGCCTAATTAGCTAACAGGAATCTAATACTCAAATCATTTCTGATTTGATTTTTTTAAAATGTTTTTGTTATTCAAGTGGTATTTTAAATCATATGAGAAGAGCTGAGAACTCATTTGTACGTACCCAAATTGCTGCAAAGTGGGGATTTGTCTCCCACACACTCGTGTTAGCTTAGCTCATTTTAACATTAATTAGCACAGTCATCCAACCAAGCTGAAAGAATAAGCTGAACTACTCCAAGGGTATCTTTATACAAAGCCAGAAATAAGATGCTGTTCTCTGAGGTCAGACAGGATTTGAGCCTGTGAATGCTGGCTACCTGCAGAATAATGCCCACCAGAAGCGGCTTATCACTTTTCCCCTAAGTCTCCATTATGATTTAAATGGCGAGGTCATGCTGGGGGAAACATAATGGTTGCTTCACAGATCAAAATCTGCCTCTTGTTTCCCACTGGACAATGTTAATGCACTTGCAGCAGCTATGCAGGGCAAGAGGTGACGTATATTGAGAGACTTCACCACTGACATCACCCATGGAATCTGCAGTGGAGTCATCCAGCAAACACTCATCCAGCTAAGTACACCTCTCTCTTTCCCAATGGCAAGAGCAAATAAAAGCCTCTTCTATAGGGTTTCAGTCAGGCCCTGGAGGAAAAAAGCAGGTCAGAAACTGGCTTTTACACAAGAAAAACTCAGCAAAAGGGTAGTATAATTGTTGGAGAAAGTTCCATGTAGAGAGTTTGGAATTTTCACTAGAAAAACAGAGCTGAGGAGCTTCAAATAAAAAACACAGCTTGTATTTGCCACTAGTATTTGTAAAACAACTTCATTGAAATCAGACTTAGAAACCGTTTGCCGTAATGTTATTTTGTGGTCTTTTTTTTTTTTTTTCCTACTATCAAAACTACTTTTCCTTTCCTACAGAAGACAAAATAAAATCAAAAAATATTTCATGCTCTGCTTCTGGCAGAACACTAACCGCACATTGCTGGATAAGCTAGAATTTCATAGCTTTTTAACCACTGAGGTAGGAGATAGAAAAAAAGTCCAGTAAGGCAATAAAAAAATGCTTGCGTAGCTAATTGACTTTTACTTGTTGGTTTCTATTTGTCTATATCTATCAATGAAAAATTGACTATGAGTATGAACATAATTACATTTAATTACAAAAAAATATCCTGGTAAGCCCTCCTGGCATGAGCATGTGTTTCTGAAAATCCTCTCATTGCAAAAACATCTCATTAAAATCCAGTATAGCAGCTACTGCGATAAACATAGCTAGAGGGTCTTCCCCCTCCTCAGTCAAGTGCTGACAGGAGAGTGTGTTCGTTATAGTTCTGCTGCATTTCACACAGTAATCACCATTTAAATTACCTTTAGGGAACACAAATAGAGAGATTTGTAGAGGAAATATTAATAAGAACAGGGGAAAGAGGAGTTTGCTGCAAACACAAGCTTTTGCAAGGTTGTTCTGTAAGGTGCCCTCACAGCACAGGCACGCATCCTGTGGAAGATCCTGAGCTACCCTGACAGCACCTAGGGGTACTGCTACCTGCCTCTGAGAACACTGTGATGGATGGCTTCCATGTGCCATGTACTGACACAGTACAGAAATGCTGTCCTGGCGGAGGGGACAGAGAACGATTGAACTGATGGAACTAGAGGGGACAAGCTGGTCAAAAATATGCATCTGAAATAGAGTAAGAAGGCAGCTGTGGTTGGTTTTGAGCTCACAGAGAGCCCTGGCAGGAGTTTGCCAGGGCTCAGTTAGCTATTTCATTCAGCTCA